GCCTTTGCTTTCAGTGGGCATGGTCATCCTTGGACTGTGTCGGCTTGGGCGTCCTCCACCAGAGGTACACTGCATTTTATGTTATTGTTACAATGTTTCTTGATTCCTGTATCAAGTCAACATCCTCCGTACGTGTAGTTTTGTAGTCTGAAAGGATCTGGTAGTCACAAGTTTTCCTTGTCTATAGTTCGTCCAGTAATTGATCTGTTTTGGCTGACTTGCAGCGCGTTTTAACGATGGCATCTCCAGTCGTGATTTAAATCACTTCAAATCTGGAAAATCTTCCCACAAGACAAGAACGCTCACAATGCCAAAGCTAAAACTTTACAAGACAAGCGTCTCTAGCAAAACCGACAAGCATTTATGTGAGTTCTTGTGTTCATCCTACAATAATCTAAGAGTATACAAAAGAGAAAATAATTTTTCATTTGATGAAGACAATGAAAGAGTGTCCACATGACTTTGTTTCTTGAAATCTGTGAAGAACAAAACAAGGAGCCAGTTCAATAGGCATTGCTTTGCATATGGAATAGATCCTCCTGGTGATAAACTTGATACTAATATTGACTTTGCTGATGATTCTACAGACACTGAAGAAATGACCCTTGACAAGCCTCTAAAAATCCCTCATGCCAACGAGAACAAGTTTGGCAAAAGCATTTGCTTTAAACTCCCAAACAAAGTCCTCCACTGCCCTGTGTATCCTCTGGTCAGGTTTGATGATTCTATGGAGATCACAATTTCAACGGATGGTAAATTCATTGAGAAGAAGCTATTGAAACACATCCCAAAAGATGCATCAGAACTCCTCAATGGAGCAGTCGGTCAGAACGATTTGTTGTTTGCATCGGCGGAAGCCAAAATCCGCAGGATGAAAATAGAAATGAATGAATGGGAAAAGGTGGATGCTGATCCATTGCTCCAGTTTGGTGAGGAAATGGAGCCTTTCTTTGTCGATCGTCATGGCCGTCATCAAGATAGCTACACCTTGGACACAGTTGAACAGGCAGTTTCATTCTGTGTAAGAACCCTTAGTTTTTGATGAAGGCAAACAGACTCCCACCAGTTATCAAGTCTAAGTAGAATTTGCCTCCAAGGTCTAGCACTACACGTTCCACTGCCAGCGTTAGCGGCCAGTACATCACCACCGCTTTGAGGATATGCAGATTGAGCTCCCGACTGAAGCTACCACCACTGCCGCAACAGCTGCCCCTGGCTTTGTTCCCCAAATGAGCCCAGAGGAGTGGGCAGCAATGCAGAAGGTCATCAAGATGTTTGGTCAAACTACTCTTTGAGACGATTGATGGCTTTTATTAAAAGATCTAGATATATGTATTCTTGTGGTATTGTGGTGCTTTGTGTCTTGAGTTGTTTACTAGCAGTAGCAACCATTGAATCTTGGCGGATCTTTGCCGACCCTTTGTTGCTATACAAGCTGGTACAACAATATTATTATAAATAAAAGAAGATGGTGGTGATCTCCGACCGTGCAAATGATCTACAGAGTAAAGTGCTTCAGTCACTGATTCAATCCTTGTTCGTTTGACATTCCCTATTTCACACTCCCCGCTTCAAACATGACAGTCTCACATTTCAAACATGGTATTCCCCACTTCAAACATGGTATTCCCCGCTTGAAACATGGTATTCCCCGCTTGAAACATGGTATTCTCTGCTTGAAACATGGTATTCCCTGCTTGAAACATGGTATTCCCGGCTTGAAACATGGTAATCCCGTCAAACATGACAATCTCACGGTTCCACCATGGTAATCCCCGCTTCAAATATCTCCTGTTTCAAATCCACTTCAAATATCTAAAGCTGCAACTCGTCAGCACAATACATTCTGCTGACTTCGAAGTGCTGTGGCGTTTATATATGAGACTTGGAAATCTATCATACTTCCGGCCCTACAGATTTTAGTCATCATACTTTTGGCCCTACAGATTTTTGTGGTAAAAGGTACGTACAAGTAACAGTACGGGATTTCCAGTACCCTAAACCAACCCTAACCCTAACTGAGTTGCACTACAATCAAGAAGCTGAAAGCTTTGCTGCGGAAGGCAGCGTTCCTGAATGGAACCAAGACGGAATGTATTTTGGTGGAATGCCAAGTGCCGAGCAGTACCAGCATCAGGAAATCAATTCAACTTTGAACAGGAAAAATATTATCCTGAAGAACAGGAGGCGCAAGAATGGGCGTCGAAGGACGGTAGGGTGCGATAGATCAGCGATCTCAGACAGCTGAAAAAGACTGTCAAGCGTAAAGTATACCCCTTGCCTTTGATTGATGATATTGTTGCCCGTCGTTCTGGCTACAAAAATTTCACAAAACTTGAACTCACCATGATGTATTATTCTTTTATATGATGTATTATTCTTTGATAACGCAATTGCTGACTGCTTCTCTCAGCTTCCACCAATGGAGAAACCGTCTGAAGGGAAGAGTCCAAATAAGGCAAAAGAGACAGTACAAGATCAATGAAAAACTTGAGGAGACAGAACGCAAAGCGAAAAGAATTTGATTACAGAATTGCGCACAGATGCAATCCGTGAAAGGATCAACATCAGACGCCTTGTGCCGTTTTGTCGAGTCTAATGGACAATATGCTTGCATCGCCAATTGTGTCAAGAACCACCTCTGAAGTTGAACGGAGAATCAAGTGGATGTAAGTGTATGATCAATTGACTTGCTCTGATCATAGAAGGGAAGAGTGTAATGACCTTGGAGTGACTTTGGAACTAGATTAGACCTAACTCTCACGTCACTCCTTTCTGTGGCTTTCTGAGAGACTCTATAACCCATTCCTATCTCTTCTTCTAGGCTGGTTCATCTTCTATCATTTTGTGAAATGTCTTGTTTTACATAATGCAAGACATAAAATTGAGAAATGACAAAGTCATTTCTTGAGAAAGAAGCACAACAAATTTGAGAGTCCTCACTCTGCCGGGTGTTTGAGGGTGCTCCACCTTCAACCTTTACTGCAAAAGACTGTACAGTATAGAGCACGCATCAATTCCATCCATCCATCCATCCATCCATCCATCAATTCTATACATTATTCTCTGTCATATCATAATGGCGGAAGCAGCAACATCTGATGCGGCAAATATAGGCAGCAGCAGCAGTCAATCTGTCAAAGACATTGCAGCCTACCTTGAAAACACGATACCAAAAGAAGCGTGGAACAAGGATGAACGGCCTTGTAGTAAAAAAAAATTCAAAACATTGGCAACCAATGTCCAAAAGATCTGGGACACCTCTTGCACAAAAAAATCTGTTTTATATTTCTGATCTGACATTTTACAAGAAAGGCAATGAAGGCGAGTACTATGGACCCTATATTTGCTTTGTGCAATTGAGTGGAATGGGGAAGACAAAGATTGTCTACAAAATGTGCAAGCATTACAAGATGAATGAAAAAGGGAAATCTAAGAGTGGTAAAGGGAAATCTAAGAGTGGTACCAATATTGTGGGTCGGCTCATTCTCTGCCACACTGCAAAAGGGAAAACCGATGAAAAAAAAAGGAAATGGACCTGTTTGACGTGTTCATTGATCTCCAAAACGGCATAGACAGCAAACATTCCTTTGAACAAGTAGTTGACGGTGTATTTAAAAAGCTGGATGATATGATTGCCTTGTTCAATATTGCTAATGCGCCAACAGAATTGGTTTTGTTTTTTGACGAAGCACACTACAGTCCAAACCAAGATCAGACTGGATATCGTGGAAAATCCGTAGCCGTGGTAGAGAATGCTATGATCGATCGAGTCGGATACCAGTTTGACTTAATCGACTACATATCCAACCGAAATTATACTACAAGAGGCAAGGCCTCCATCTTTACGATAAGACCTGGTCTTGATTACAAATCTTGATATTTTA